TTCTATAGTGATCGTTTATTCAATTGTCAACCATATTCCTGATACAAACGTTTATTTATCCCCCCCCCCCCCCCAAAAAAAAAAAAATAAAAAAAATATTATGTTGAAAATAGTTAAATGAAATATATATCATTACAATGTTCACCACAGGAAACCATTTTACTTGTACTTTTCTTACGTACTACTGTATATAGGTTATACTTAAATTCATCATGTTTAGGTATTTGTATCTAAGTATAAAATCTATGGATTAACATATTGATTTTACAAGGAGCAATACAACTATGTACGCTTTTTGACACTCCATTCCTCAACAGGAAAATACTACTGTATTTACGTTATATTTTTATTAATCATGTTTAGGTAGCTTTTGTATTTTATTACAGCATTCAAGTTTAAAATGATACCATTTATACTTTATGCTAATCAAAATCATTAAGCACTAAACTTTAAATAACATGCACGATGTTAAAACTGTTTATGAAATCCAGACTAGATAATAACATTAAACAGAAAAGTAAAGTTTAAATTCTTGGACAGTTACTCTTAAACCTCATATAGCAAATTTTCACAGAAGGTTCTATATATATAGCCAATTGACCAATTTACCTTTTGTTTAGTAATGACTACAGACTTTGAAAATTGTTAAACGAAATACACGAACATGCCATCAAATTTCACGATGTATTGAACATTATGGACAATGTTGATATCCTTGCTTGAAATTGTCGCGATTTAAAGACAGTAACAATATCAATCACAAAACATACAGGATCTTTAAAAACGTTCATTATTTTTAACATTTCTTTTATATTTAACACCACATAATAAAGCTCACCTTTCGACGTTTAGAGAGAAAAAATGTATCATAACTAATAAGCGCACATACTAGATACTCGAAAGAAATGAAAGAAAAAAAACCCAACAAAACAAACAAACAAAAACCAACAAAAACATCAAAAACAAATAGCTTCATTTAGAGTCTGATGGAATATGCAATTTCGCTCACGACCTCTATCATATCGGCTTTAGCGCTACATAATCCTCAACACTAAAACAATGAAAATAGATGATCCATAATTTCCTTTGAAATAGTTCGGAGCAACATTTTAAAACTGCCAATAAGCGTGTTACAACTACTGTTATATGATATGTCATTTAATATTATTTTATCATTTATTACCTCATCATATCATAGCTCGACACAACACCGTTTCATTGCAGTGATTTGCATAACATGATACAAAGCCAAATAGTCTTAGAAATACAGATAGTTTCACATTTTAATAATTTCTCTGACTTTGTGTATATTTCTATCATTAGTCTTAATAAGGTAGTACCATATAACCATATATTTTTACTGTTTTGTGTATGTAACTAGTTAACGACTCTTCAACATTTATTCGTTTTGGAAAAGTCTTCACAGAAGCCCAGGCCTTTAACTACTGTACTAATAATTGATAAGTGTATGCAGTGAATAATAAGTGTTATTTTCTGTTCAAAGACATTTATTTTCTCAGTTCGGTGTAAAAACGTGTTTCCAAAATGGCCAATCAGTATGAGATGTATTTGAGGTGTACTGGTTTTGCTCCTGTGCACTTTTTGAAATGGTATACCGCATGTACATTTAATACTCTTTATGTAAAACATACTTTTCCTTTCTAGCTCACATCATATATATCAGCAAGAAAATGTACATATGTGTTTTTTATGCCCCTACAATGTGGGAGCATATAGCGTTGCACTTGTCTGTCCGTCCGTCCGTCAGTCCGTCCGTCCCGAAATCTTGTGAACGCAACTCCTCTTAAACCGGATGGCAGATTTTGCTTAAACTTACAGGGATGAACAACCTTAATGTGTAGATGGTAGTAAAGGAAGGAATTTTCGCTGCGACCAAATTTAACAGAATTATGGCCCTTTGTTGATTTTTTCACTAGATACTATGTAGAAATTTTGTGAACGCAACTCCTCTTAAACCGGATGGCAGATTTTGCTTAAACTTCCAGGGATTAACAACCTTAATGTGTAGATGGTAGTAAAGGAAGGAATTTTTGCTGCGACCAAATTTAACAGAATTATGGCGCTTTGTTGATAATTAGTTTTCAACTTGTGGCACATGTAGTCCAAAAAATATTTGACCTAGAGTCATAAGATTGACAGAACAGTGGCGTGTGGGGGCATCCGTGTCCTATGGACACATTTCTAGTTTGTAACGGATTTTCTACAAAGTACATTATGATGAAGATAAAATACCAGGTGTTTGTATGTATTAAAGGGGTAAAAAAGATATCAATAACAAATAAAATGGATTTTTTTTCTAGATTGACAGCAGTTAGTGATTTAATATTTTGTATGGAAGTCAAAATAATACTTTGTTTATATTTTGCTACACTTAAGAAAAATAACTTCACATTAAGAGCGAATTTCTGCAAGTCAAAAAGAGAGTAATATACTCCAAAACCATTACTTGATATAATAACGTTTATATTTGCCCTTCCAATGAAGTAAATAATTATTCGATTCTGAGGCAAAATGTGACTTTCATAATAAATACATATTTTAATATTTGAGAGAGACAAACTTAAAATATGTCATACATTCAAGATATATTAAAGATAAGTTTCGGAATACCAAATGATTAGTTAAAGAAAAATATGTTACACATCATTGATGATATTTAAGAAATAATATATCCCAAACTGTGATTTTATTGCTCAATAACATCACTGTTTGGAGTTCGGATGCCAGGAATTATATCACGAGGGCGTAGCCCGAGTGATATAATGATGCGCATCCGAACGACAAACAGTGATGTTATCAAGCAATAAAATCACCGATTTGGATATATTATTTCGATTCTAACACGACATCAACAAATAAATGCTGCCGTACCTGATATTTAGCTAAATTGCGCCTGATTTGTTTCCGTACTTATTGTCAGCGCGTCACATTTTTAGGGCTGTGACTAAAAAAAGGATTGGAGCACCACACTAAATACCGTATTCCGGTATATACCGGACAAGGCGCTTGAATGCTAAAATCTTGTCTTTTTACCCAACGGAATGAACTTTAACAGGTCTAATTCATCTTTTCACACCGAATCAAGTACGATAATCAAGGAAAAATGTTAAATTCGGCGAAAAAAACGATATTTGTCTATTTTGTGATCATGATTTCTGCAAGCGTCTAGAGGTACTGCTCCAATCCTGTATTGAGCTAAATCCCATTTTTAGTGGTTACGTCACGTGTATTATGATTACGTCACATGTCTAAATATAGAACGTCAAACAGTGATTTTATAGCATAATAACACACAATTTCGGTAATTCTATGTTCAATAGGGAAAAATGCGAGTCGTGTTAGAATAATCAATAACCACTCTGTACATGTTACATTAATCATGACATACTGTGTTATTGATAAACATCCCACATATCCTTGAATAGATATAATTTGTTGATAGAAACGGTTTGAAATAGACATGATGTAGATCGAATGTAAACATGGTTTTCAGAAATTTCTTATTCTATTTCTCTATTTATGAAACAGAAATACTTTAAAAGATTCCATATGATAATAAAATATATGTAGTGTCCAATTATATGTGACAACCGTAAATCTAAGTTGGTCATGTATATTCAATTGGTATTAAAAGTTGACGCTTTGTCCGAAAACACGTGATAAACACACATCTAAGTTGTGCCTATTATTTGGTTTCATTAACCTGTAAATTACATACTGATTACAAGGTCGATGCACACAGTATATTAATCTTCGGTAGATTTTCGGTAAGTTCCGTGAGATGTACGCTGTACGATGGAATTTAATTTAATTTGTATCTATAAACTAAGTGCACTCAGCGTTATAGCGTAATATATATTGTGAATTAACGAAAACCTTCACATTAGGCTGGTGTGACTTTCAATCCATGACTAAGTGGGATCGAATATTTTAATGAGTCCAGTAATGTATTCATAATTGACAGGTCGATAAAATCAGACTATTCAATATATGTTAATTTATATCAAACACTTTGATATCATTATTTGAGCTGTCATATATAAACATCCTCGTCAGATCATCAGATATCGCCAAGCAACAAGGACTCTGGACACCTTTCACAAAAATAGGAAGCACCTCTCTTGTATTTGGTGTAATAAATGTAAGTCTATTACTGATGCCTGGACAACATACAATGACCGCTCCATCATGTGTCATAACAAGTTGTTCTGGTAATTTTATATCATTCCCTGTTATTTTATCCTTTACTGTCCCATCAACAGTAAACTCAAAAAGAGCATTTTCATTGGAACAGAACACAATAAAGCTTTTGTTGTCGTCGTAACATGAAGCTATATAATAAGGAGATGGACAATGTTTTCGGATATCAAACTCCTTCATTATGTTCCCTTCCATGTCAAGTAGCTGAACGCATGCAGGATTGTCGAACGATGCAACAAGAACTCCATTACTGTAGTCAATTCCTCTACAGTCCTGTCTCACATTAATACTGTGACTTTTAGAAATACCATTTGATGTTTTTATGAACAGTATTTCACCTTTTATGAATACAGTTACTGCAAATAATCTCGAACTGATTGCAGTTATGTCCCATGGTTGACCATCTGTTTCGAATCTACAGGTTATCTCATTCTCTTCTACGTTTAAAAGTTTAAGACAATAATTTGTACCATCAACAAGCAAGAGTTCATCACATGAAATTGATGCCATTCCTGTTATGTAGCATTGATTTCGGTCGTTTTCTGACCTGACATTAAGACTCTTTAACAACGTTGTTTGAACATCTTTTAGACTTTTTTTGTTGTATGTACGTAACTTCTGCTTTTGTGCATTGATTACACCAATGGGATGTTTGCCTGTTACAAGTTTTTCAAACTCTCGAGACTTTACAAAGTCATATATTTCAATTTCACGTTTAGACGCTAGCTCCTCTGTTGAAATCTGGCAGGCTTCAATCCTTTCATAAGTAAGTTTTGTTATTACAAACAATTGATTAATATTGTCTGAAGTGACATTATTTTGTCTTTACATTCTCTCATATCAGTTTTCATAGACTCAAATTCTTTTTGCATGTGCCCAAGCTGAGACACTTGTTTCGATGTCAGCTGATCTATTAGTTTCAGTAGATCTGCCTCAGCGTTATCCAAATATTCATTAATCTCTTGTCGGAAAATGTGAATTTCTTTCATTATCTTTTCTCTCATTTCATCAGTAGCTTTTATGCCATCTAAAATATTACCTTGGTAAGATGAAATTCTTCTCAGAAGGGTTGCCATATTTTTCCTGATTTGCACGAGTTCCTCGCTGGTATTGTAGCTGTCGGAGACATCATTGACGAGTTTAACAGAACACGTCTTGTGGCTCAGGATCATACAATCTCCGCATCCAACAGAATGATGGTCTTCACAAAAAAACTTTATTATTTCAGTATGATGAACTGAACACAACTCCGTACAAGGACCTTTTTGCTTTTTTCTTGATTTTGGCATTTCATTCTTCGACTTGATCACGTGATTTTTACTTATAGCTAATTTCCGATGAGCTTTCAAACAGGGAGAACAAATGAACTCATTACAAGTTTCACAAAATGCCTCCGCTTCTATTTTATCACCGTCACACTCACAAGGCTGGCAAAGAAATGTAAGTTGTCTCCCTTGCTTAGATATTGAATGTTTATCGTCCCATTTCCTACGACCCGACACCGCCATTTTGAATCTATGAAAATATTTTTTATAACATTGAATTTCCTCTCAAATTTTTAATTGTGATAGAAAATATTTTTCGTCAAGTGTTGAAAACCTAAAATAATACGAAAGTAGGTTATATCCGTTAATAATTGCTTTTTCAATCACAAAAAATGCTATACAATACTTCGTCTGCTTGTTGTTATGTTTACCTATAAATAAACAGAAGGTTTAAATATTGGAATATATACAAAGGGGAGGACAAATCGGTTGAATTTATGACTGACTTACTGTCCTAGGATGATAATTTGGTCTTAACGGTACATGGGAATGTCCAAAAACGGGGTTATCTGGATTATTATCCAATATCGTAAAAGTAAACACTAACATATGCTATATATAGCATAATTCTTACAGTATCGTTTGTGTATTACCGTTATGGCTCTGCCGGTAGATCGTAGTTATTGTAACTTTTAATGTTTTGTACTGATAGGTTCGAACCCCACGTAGTGCCATTTTATAACCACAGTTTTTACTTCTTGATCTGTTTTTTTATCATTATTATTTATTCAGTTTTCGTTTTCCTTTTTGTTTTTTTCCTATGATATATATTTTATAGTAAATAATTTTTTTTATTTCTATTCTATTTTCTTTTTGTATTTTTTGATCGCAGTGTAATAAAATATTCGATCTCGTATTCATGTATGTATATGAAAAAAAGGGTCAACATTGTTTTCTGAACATTTGACTGTTCTGAGGTAAAAGAAACGTGTCGTACCAGTAGTCGAACTTCTGCCTGTACGGGTAAAACACATTACCGACACGGTTGCTCTACCTACTGCGCTAACAAGTCATATGATAACATGTAGTTTTATTTTCATTTTTATAGGTTGTGGCATTGATCTGCCTTACCTATTTTTCGCATTGTTATTGTTTTTGTTATGTAAACAAAGGCTCAAGTTATTCAACCTAGGACAGTAGTTACTTAGCTTATATTTTCTGATAGTGATTATATGCGGGTATTTAAATTGGGTAAAGAAATATACTTTACCATATTACATCATATTACATTTTTTTTAAAAGATTAGTGAACAAACTATCCAAAATATTAAATCACAGACAATATACGAATACATATAAGAAAAGTATAAATACAAAAGTTGTTTTGACGTTTTTACATGTTATGTGTAAAACATGACTGACTGTACTATTTTATCATTACATGTCTTTACTCCTATTCACACAACAATGCTTTTTCTTTTGATTTGTTTGACACATGACATATTGTGTGTTCATCTTGATATTTTTAAGCATTTTGAATTGTTTCTTTGTGTATATACGACGTAGCATGAAACAAGATTATGTTGCTTTAAATTGCTTATAATTTTCTTACGTTTAGCAAGAGAATACTACTCTATATATGTTATACTTTATTTGCTCATGTTTAGGTATTTGTATCTCTAAGTGGAAAATCTATTGATTAACATTTTGATTTTGCAAGAGGCTGTACAACTATGTACTCTTTTTGACATTCCATTCCTCAACAAGGTTTTACGATACATTTGCATTGATTATGCTTTAAAGGTAGTTTTTGAGCTACTCAGAAACGTCATATCTCAAATTTTGAGAACATTTTATTTTATAAATGGGCTTTATATCTAAAAATTTAATACTCACTGCTTAAGTATTTTATTCGTAACTTTCATATTTGAATTGTACAGTTTACCTTCTGTTAAACAATGTCAAATGGCGTTAGAAATTTTAAAACACCACATGAACATGCGTATATCTATTGCTGAAAGACGAGAATTTAACATTCTACATATAAGTGTATGTAGCGGAATTCATAAAAGATTTGGTCCATATATTGTGAATAAACAAAGTAATTTCAAACGTAGGTACTTTATCTAAGTATAAAGTGTATTGATTAATGTATTGATTTTAACTACGAGCGATGCAGCTATGGGCATTTATTGCAAGATATTTGTACTTAAATGTTCACTAGAGTGTATATCAAATATCAGTTTTGTTAAATTTTTAAAAAGTTTAGGTCTTGTTTTAAATAAGTAAACATGAAATCATATACTCGGCAGTAAACATCTAATACGTCATTTCATTCCTAGCAGTAACACTTAAGATGAATACGCATGATCCTCTTTTAGTGCAAACCTTAGAGTAAAGTTATATAGAGGATATTTGTTTGTTTGTGTGTAAGATGAAATTTTATTTCATCGAGTGGGCTTTAAAAACAGTATTCTCACGAGTGGCGTAGCTTTGCTTTGTAGAAAATAATTATTTTGAAGTTCATTCTATAATATTTGCATCTTTCATTCATAATAAATTACGATAGACACTCATAAAGGATTTAATATTGTATAACATGTATCAATCAAAGATCATCAATGAAGGGCTGCCTTCAATTACCGTATCCCCATACAAACAACAGCTAAACTGGACCACTGGCAGAGTACCAAAACAGGAGGACACACTGTAAAGCACTGACGGAGAATTTTAACAAACAAAATTTGAAATAAGTCAAAGGCAAGAATCAATGATCAATAGACACGTATAAAAAGAAAACTCAATTACCATAACAAAAATATTCAATGACTCAGAAATAAGGGCAGCAAGAACATTTCCTAAAACGTGCCGACACAGCTAGGCAGGACACAAAAATTAAGACAATTAGGTCAATATGGGTTTTAAAAAATGACCATCATAGAGTCAATCATGTTTGATTCCTATATACGGAGATGAACGGAAAGGGCATAGTATAGCATTTCATTGTAGTGTTTTGATAAACACTATATGGCATACTAAAACAATGCCAAAAAGTCTTAGAAATACAGATATATGAACATTTTGTGTTATTTCTCTGACGTTGGTATATTTCTATCATTAGTCTAAATGAGGTAGTACCATATAACCATATATTTGAGCCGCGTCATGACAAAATAAACATAATGGGCTTGCGACCAGCATGAATCAAGACCAGCCTGCGCATCCGCGCAGTCTGATCAGAATCAATGCTTTTAGCTTACAGACCCTATAACAAGTAAAGAAATTGCTAGCGAACAGCATGGATCCTGATCAGACTGCACGGATACGCAGGCTGGTCTGCATCCATGCTGGTCGCAGACCCGTTATGTTGGTTTTGTCAGGACCCGGCTCATTTTTACTGTTTTGTGTATGTTAGAAGTTAACCTGTCTTCAGCATTCATTCGTTTAAGAAAAGTCGTCACAGAAGCTAAGGCCTTAAACAACTGTTCTGAATTTGATGAATGCAGTAAATATAACCTGTCGTTTAAATACTAAATATTCACTTTTTAATTCTCACTTCCGCGTGAAAAACGACTTCCAAAATGACCAATCAGTATGACTTTTTATGTAAACTGGTTTTCTCCTGGGTACTTTTTGAAATGATTCACAGCATGTACATTTCACGCTGTATATGTAAAACATACATTTCCTATCTAGCTCACAGCATGTACACACATAGTAAATGTACATATTTTATACACATATTTGCAGATATTTGCTTTTGTAAGGAAACTTCTACATTGTTCATTATGTTGAAGATAAAATGCTAGGTGTTTGTATGTATTAAAGGGGTAACAAGATGTTTATAACAAATTAAAAGTCGATTAAATAATTATATCTTTTTTCTAGATTGACAACGAGACTTATCAGTTCATCAAGATTTATTTCTTCTATTCATAAATGTTAAATGATACACAGATTAGTGTTATATTAAATACTCTACATCGTGTCCTATAAAAGACACTATAATAAAAAGATAATGTTCAGTAACAAAATACAAAATATTCTCTAGTATAAAAAATGAATAAAAAACGTGAAAAGTGTGTTAATTAAAGCTGTCAAGAGAGTATTTGATATTTTAAAATACTACACGTTTGTAACGTCGCTTTTTATTTGAAAATCCTGCTGTCGATTTATGATTTTTTTCTTAAAATAGAATACGGCCTGGATTATATGTACAAACCGTTTATATTGGACTTTATAACCTGTCAAAAAATATATAACTTATTATATATAGATGTAGTTGTTTTGAACCATAATGTCGAAATCAAAATAGAATGATTGACACGACATCCAAGCTTCTGTTTCTAATAAATCGTAATATTTCAAGTGTCTATGTAATATATAACAATAATTTTAATCATTATAATAATCATTTAAATGCTATAAATGTTTTGAATAATGCAAAAAGTTATGTTATAGTAACTATTGAATCTTTAATTAAAGGCACATTGGTCGAAGAAATGCTTTCTTTTTTATTTCTCAAAAGCTCTGTTAGTTTGGTTTCCAAAAGCGTATTTAATCTTTTTCTTCTGACAGTTTTTTGGCAATAAGTAAGAAACAGTGATTGATATTTTGTATGGCAGTCAAAGAAGCATTTTGTTTATATTATGCTACTTCAATGACAAATAACGTCACATTTAATGCGAATTTCTTTAGGTTAAAAAGCAAGTAATATACTCTTAAACCATTATTTGAAAATAATAACATTTAAATGAAGTAATTATTTATTCGCTTCTTAGGCATAATGTGCCTTTCACTTCTCCTAACATAGATGCTTATCTTACTATTTGAAAGAGAAAAAATATGTGAAACACTCAAGATATATTTAAGATAAGTTTCAATGTACCACCTAAAACAAAATATTTTACATATCATTGTGAATTTGATAATATTAATCAATCAATCTGTACACGTTAAATGAATCATGTCACACTGTGTTATTGTTAAACAACCCTCATATATCTATATAAATTTGATTTATTGATAAAATGTTTGAAACATACATGATGAAGATCGCATTTAAACATGGTTATCACAAATTTCTTAATATTTCTTAATTCATTGATTATCAATGCATATGGAACAGAAATTGTGATACCTTAAATATTTCATATGAACAAATAAAATATATAAACAACCTGAGGGGATCTGATTATATGTGATTACCCTAAATTTAATTTGTAAATATCCAAAAAAGTATA